TCCTGGCTCCTATGTGCGGTTGGTCTCCTTTGTGAGTGGCACAAGTGAAAAGCGTAAATATAGATAAAGGAAAATGGGAGAGGGTGGTAGAGGGGAAACTGCACAAAGGCAGCATTACACTTTAATTTTAAAACAAATGCAGAAAACGCTCAATGGGAATTTTAACGTAGCAGCAAGTCAGTCGAGAGAAGCGACTGGAGCTAAATTGTAGCTGACCAACGAAGCGTGCTCAAATTACACTTGCAATCAAATCTATAAGCAACCGCAAGTGCATGCAACATGCAACATGCAGTACGAAGCTCCTTGCTAGCAAAATAAACCACAATAACATGCACTGGTAGACTGACTCAAAGATACTCTCAGATAGACAAGCAATATGTATGTGAGTTACGAATATGTATGTGTGTGTGTATGTATGTTAGCGGTACCACAAACCACATACACGAGTCGAGTTTGTGTTTTTGGATTACATGGAGCTATATCTGCGGTCTGTTAGGCAACTTATTAGATTAGTAATGGGGTGGTGCAACGAGTAATGCAACATTCGAATGCGAATGTGTCCCCCTTGACCGACCGCAAGCATCTGTCAAACAGTTGCCCTTGATTAATACAATTAAAGTCTTGAGGGTCTTATAGATTTAAAGTGCACTGACAGCGAGAGCTAATCAGTATAATGCGCAACGCTGTCAATGTAAAGCCATTGTAATGACATAGCATCAACATGATATATGCACGTATAAATGACCAACTTTGTAAGCAACAGTCGTATGACTAATTCTTTCCACTGTGCGAGTTTCCTGTTGTTGTTGTGACCAAAAAAAAAACCAAATATAAATATACATATACATAGAAATATATAAGCTGTGGAGTTATATTTATGTCACTTTTGGGACTTTCGCTTGTCACATATGCACAAAGAGTGCTCATGTCCGTTGAACGCTAGAGTTACAATGACACTGGCTGCAAATGGCAAATAAGCAATGGTTTGATCAGCATATAGAACTATCGTCAGTATAACTGTAGGATATGTTTACGACAGCTTAAAAGCACACAATTTACAATTGATCAAACCACAATTAATAGTCAATACTTTATTTTACACTTAAGATTTATTTAATACCCTTGAATCTTAAAACTTCATGAATAGAGTTTTTAAATAGTTAAATAGTTTGATACTACAATTTTGTTGTATATAATCAAAATCTTAATACATGTTAGCAAACAAATAGAGAGAAGTTTTTTTATCTTTACTTCTCAAGACTAATTACCTTTAGCAAGCAGAAATCATGTAATATATCTACTGAATGCACTAAAGTTGTAAGTTTAACTTAATCATTGCAATTTGTCAATATTCGTCTCATTCAAATTCAATTTGCATTTGTTTTATTGCCACTGTCAGATAGTGTCATTGGACCAGAAGCTGAAACTTCAAAAAAATTGTGTGCTGCTAATTTGAAAGATGAATTAGATTTGTTGCACACAGAGATTTGCAACGTTGCAGTTTTGAACCGGAGAACTATAAATTTCATTTGTCACAGCAGCAAAATCCCTCAGTGTGTGCTTACAATGGAGTCTGTTACACATACAACAATATTTTTGCGTAGTTTTGTGGCAAAGTCAAAAACAGTATAATGCATGTCACACATAGGGGGATAGAGATACAAACAAGCACTCACACACACACACACATATATATATATACACAAACACACATGCACATGAAAGCAGGGCCATTGTCTGGCTGAGACAGCTTACATAAAAGCCATAGAGAACAATTTAGATATTTTATAAAGATTTAAGCGCTTCACATGACCCCGCAGGGCAAAAACTTGTCATCGGTAGCTGAGTTACATAACTTGAGGTAAAACATATATACATATGAAAGGGTCTCCAAATGGTTCGTCTCATCTCGTCGCGTCTTCTCGTATTTGTTTGCCATTTAAATAAGCATAATTCTAGTATAAGATAAAAACACACACTTTTATATTTCACATAGGACTTCTCAATCCTTTGCACTCTACTACCTTATGCATATTCATAGAACTAACCACAACAGCTCGACATTATTTTTGCTTATGTACGTATGTATGTATGTTAATATGTTTGTTTATCTGTTTGTTTGTTTGCTTGTCTCTTTTAGGTATGTTTCACACACGCATACCTACAACCATCTAAGTGGCTACAACATTTGCATAGATGCGGCTGCTGCTGTAACTGGTTTGTACACACACACACACACACACACACAAATTAATACACATCTGCATGTATGTGCATACATGCATACATATATATCTGTTCATTTGTGCGCACGAGGCTGGCACTTGAGTGTCTTAAGTTCTTCTTGAAGTGGCAACTTTTTCTCAATTGCCGCAAGTGGTGTTGCAAGTGGTTTCCAAAGCGCTCACGGCAAGATACAGGTGTATGCTCCAGCCTTGTGGTCTTTGAGTGGTGTGATAAAGAAAATGCATTTGGGTCTCCAGGAGAGTTTACCAGTACACACACAAACACACCCACCCAACCATCTGACCTCAATGGATTATAAACATTTGTGTCAGCTGTGTATGTAAAGCGGAAATATGTCTATATATCGCCTCCAGCGACTACAAGTTTGAATAAATAATTGACAGTGGTTTGTGGGAACTCTTCAATTCTGTTGGATAATTGCAGTAATTGTAAAACCCTTAAAACTTTAATTGACTTTATAATTAACACATAATAAACGAATTATAAATTTAATCGATGGTTTTGTGATTTCAATAATTAAATTCATTTTCCAAATGAGTTAACAAAAAAACACTAAGAAAAATAACAACAAATTTTGGCATTAATCGAACTGTCAATAAATTAATACCCATTAAGATAACATTTTCTTCAAGTAATTATTGATGCATTAAATCTTTAAAGGAACAAAAATACTCTCAATTTAAAAAATAAAATATAAGATTGGTATTAATAGCACTTGATAGTATTATATTTATGTGGGCCATTTTTATACTGTGTTATCTTTATATGATGTCTGATTTATTTTGGGCTTTCATTTAAGGGGAAATATTTCCAGACAATTTCGCGCTTGCTACCGCAAATCTCTGTCGTAATTAACCCACTTAAATGGCAGTAACTTTGGCCAGCAATCACCGCAAAGGGTGGTGGCTTCTGTGGGCGTGATCCATGTGCATGTTATAGCCGCAGGCGAAATCCCAAAAAAAACGCAAGCAACTCGCAGAAATTTGCACAGTTTTTAATGGCGCAGATGTGTTTTCGCTATGTTTGTATGTGTATGTATGTATGCATGTATGTGTGTGCGTGTGTGGCTAGGATGCGTCGTGTGAGGCTTTCGATGAGGGCTTTGTGTGCGTGGACTTAACTGACCAGCACACACACGTACACACATTACGTGTAGGAAGCTGCGCCATGGTAAATGCTTTAAAAAGCCATTTCAGCTTTTTCCGTTCAGTTTTTCCCTTTTTTTTTTGGATTTTTCTTCTTTGATACGGCCACAAAAAAAAGGAGGATTATAAAACACTTAAGCGATTTTAAGCGCAATTATGTTGGCACGAGCACGTAAACGCATTGTGGCCATTGCAATGCTTATCCACTTCAATATTTAATTATTTTTCACTGGACATATTATTAGGTATTCATTTAAAGCCAACTAACAGCAGCAGTACAAACTTGTTCTAAATAATTTAAAAGCTAAATTTGCCGCTAGCTACAAAAAAAGACAATAAAATTTGCAAAAAAAAAGAACAACAACAGAATTGCAGTGGAATATTTTCAGAAGCAGTATATCTTTGGCTTGGGAAAAGTCATTGGGGGGTACCTCTAACAATAAAATATCCTGTAAGAGGTAAACAATGTACTTTAAAAATAAAAATAATGTAACTAAAAGTATACAAAAATATAAATATAAAATAATATTATTATTGGGCAAATCAAGTGCACTAGAAATGAAACAAATTGTAAGTTATAAGAATTAATATACCCTGTCAGGTCTATTTGGCGATGGGGTACAATCTACATAGTGCCAAGCTTAGTCATGGCAGATAGCCAGAAACAACAACAGCAGAACAGAAGCAACAACAGGCTAGAAACCCTAGAAAACCGGTCTGGAAACAATTAGAACGTCAGCTTACCGGAAAAAAGTTTGCATTTCATTTATAACCGAAGGATTTTATTTAGGAAAAGTTGTGCGAATGGCAGCATGCGATGGCTAGCGATGACTGCGCCTGGCCAGTTCAGTGGCAGGCGTTGTTCATTGTGCATTTTCTTCGGCAATGCCAGGCGATTCTTCAACGGCCACTTCAGCAGGCGGCAATGGAGACGACAGCGTTCAGCGAGGGGAGGGGTGCTGCAACGTTGGCGTTTCCGTTGCAAACGAGCACCATTGTTGCTACAATAAACTTCCGGTTTTAAATTTCACTGGTTTGCCTGTCTTTCTGTCTAAGTGTGTGTGTGTGGTTGCAAAACAAAATGGCAGCCGCCAGTTGCAAGCTATCGCTGCCAACGGCTTTTGACATTAATTAGCACAGAACATGTTGAGCAACAGCAACGGTAACTGCAACGGTAAAGTTTTTGGCCATTTGCAGCTGCATAATGGGGCCCTGAATGCCTTAAGCTGCTGCCATCAGCCGTGTTTATTACGTAATTTAGATAACGTCCAAACGTTAGACTCGACTGCTCTTGATGATGCAGCTCAAGCAGTACCATCAGCAGCCAATGCTGAAAAGTGCGCCGTCAGCGTACGATGCACCTGACATAACCATTAGCATCAGTAGCTTGAGTAGCTTGAGTAGCCAATGACGTCTCGAAACTTATCTCACTTGGTCAAGTTTACGTCCAGTTGGTCATGTGCATAAATCAACACAAATGTGCTAAGATCATCAAAGTTTTGACCACCATACAAAGTTGCCCAGCCTTATGCATACATAGGCAGATGACACAATATGTTTCAAATTTGCGCAATTTATTTCAGCTGCGCATTGGAAGTTTTTCAAACATGTCGCACAGATTTGTCGTACAAATCGATAGTTTTCAATAAGCAATAAGCTCTTCAATTTGACATGAATCACGATCGGTTGCGGTTGAAATTTAATGTTTATTTGCACACAATTTAAGTTTCTATTTCATATTTAGGTGTTAAATATTGCATTGTTTATAAGATAGTTGGATTTTACTCGAAGTTTGTTGTATGTGGAAACTCCATATTGTATTCACGTTTCAGCGTAAACTTTAAGTCTAATGTACTTGGCTCGGCGTTACGATACTTAGCCAGTGTGACCAGACGCATGGACACATCCTTCACAAATGTATTAACACATTTGGCTACCAAATCCGCAGCCTGATCGTCCATTGAGGCGGCTTTGTCAATTTTCTTTATAAACCGATTTAAATTGGCAACTCCTATAATCTGCCATTGGCATTGAGAGGGGATTATTTTAACGACTATTGAAAAGTTTTTGGTAGCACTCACATGACATTTTGTGGACGAGGAGCACAGGTGTTCCTTATCGCTAGCGGCTTGATTACTTTTCCCCGAAGAGCTTAAGCTGAACGCCGAGGACTCACTTTCATTCCCCGAAGATAAGTCGGTATAATTGTCGGGCAGCTCATCGAACCAAGGAAAGTTGTTCATCTTGTGCTGTCAGAATTGTTAGCACAGTCAACTCACACCTTTTACTAGCTAGCCAATAAGCCAGCTGCTTGAACCCATTGGGAATTTGAAAAAATACTTGGGCTAAAGCACAATGAAAACTATTGCCTCCTTTTAGGTCACCAGTTAAGTGTTACGCCTTTCATTCCTTTAAATTTCCAGACTGCTCGATTTCCCCTTCAACATTTTCGTCGCATTTTCAACAATTCAAGCAGACTTCGGAAATCAATGCAATATTTCAAACAGTGACTGATCGATTTGGGTGCAATTTGTATGATGTCAATGTTAATGACATTCGTTGACGCCTTTTGAATTACTTCAACGCAGATATACGCATGCAGTTGTCGCTGCAAGTTCATCTCCATCTTACAATGCGCAGCGTATTTCTCGAAGATGTTTCCTTGAAATTTCCTTTTTCCCTTTATATATACAATGATTTTTTCTTCGTATTTACTTGCATTGTGTTTGTTGACCTCGAGTAAATGTGTCGCTTATTGGAATGCACTTTGCTTGGCCAATTGCATTGATATGCGATTTGCGGTCGGAAAGGGGATGGCAAATTTGACAAAGATTTTCTGCGGCAATTTATCGCATGTCCTTGTTACGAGCTGGTGCAGCCACCCTTTCATCCCGTGACTGGTCCGTAACTTTATTTAATGGCAAATAGTTCACACTTCCTTTAGCTGGTCGTAAACTTTGTCCAGAGCAGCCAGGATAACCATATGTTTGTTGTTGTTATTGTTGCTGCCACTGTAATTTCTCTTGTTGAACTTTTGTTCAAATAAAGGCGCAGTTTTTGCTGTTTACTTTGTCCCAGTGCTAAATATTTCAAACAAAAGCCAAACAAACAGCTGACAACGGCAACAAAAACAATAACGGCTGTAACGACGGCAACAAATGGTTGGCGGAAGGAAGCGCAACTTAAATAACGGATATTGGCTTAAATAAACAATGGCGCCCATGTCTGCAAGGCCAGCGCATATAACACATCTCTATATCTAAATATATTTATATGCACATATATATATATATATATATAAATAAACTAACTGTACAAGCATTAAGCCAACTTGCTGGTAAACTGTGCGGCGATAAGCAGCGCTTGAGCGGATGTCGCAACCCGTTGCCTGCCTCCCTGGCTGCCTGGTTGCCTGACTGCCTGTGGTTCACACTGTGAAGTCGGTTGCATTCGCAGGGTTGCATTTTGCGTGGTTTTGCCAAAATGTTGTTCTTTACATTGTTGTTGTTTACCGCGTCTGTCAGTGCAACAGCTGTGTTTTTGTCAAGTTCTTCGGGCACTTTAATTGCTTGTTAATTAGAGTTGTGTGTTTTGCGCCCCTCCTCAGAAACGGCGCTAGCTGCCTATTTTATTATTTTTTTTTGTTGAAACCCCGTAGGCTTTTGTTTTTTTTTTTTGTTTTTGTCTTTGATATGGCACAAATAAGGTTAATTGTTGATGTGTGTAGCCATGACATGCCGCTGATGGAATTTAACAACTGTGCAAATATTTGACAGATGGCTGACAGGCTGTCAACGAACCCGAACAAGGCCCAAACCAAATCGTTCATTGACGCGTGAGCGTGCGAAAATTGACTGGTTTTCAACCTGCCTTCCCGACCGTATTCAGAGGACTTTTAATCTGTACGAGGGGCTTAATGAAAGTTCAATTTATACCATATATATGGAGCTTTAATGGAATTAAGATATAAATGTATTGGTTGGCTTGTATAAAATAGCAGTTAGACTGATAGCATGCCAAATCTATTTGGAAATGACAATAGAGCTTAAGTTAGTGAGAAGTGAAATTGTTGCATTGATATAAGAATAACTTTTGTGCTTACCCACGTGGCGGCTGCACAAGTCTGCAGTTTAGATATGTGTCAACTGTGTGGCAGCTAGCAGAGCATTCGTATTATTTTCACACCTAACGACTGCGAGCACATCAACGACAACGCGCTTGACGAGTGTCGGCTGCAATATTTGCACTGCACTACAAAAACAAGAGCTCCTACAACAAAGCAAAGGATCCGAGTGTAATCGTCATAATGCTGACAGAAGAGTGGGAGCGGCGTGGGGGAATGGCTGGTTGGTGGTATAAGTAAATCGAATGCTCAACTGACGCTAAAAGGATAAGCGCATTAGGGCATTTACTTTGGATTGCGATTCAAACGGAAGGAAAACGCATTAATGCGAGATGAGAAAATCGAGGAGCCTCAGGGCAGTCGCTGCCGCAGCTGCAATGACAGCTGCAGTCGCAGTCGCTGCCTTAATGGCAGAGGCAGTGATGGTGACAACTAGACAAACAAGCCACATGTTCATGTGCTCGTTGTACTCGACACAAAAGCGCAACAAACAAGCGGCAACAGCCCCAAGCTGTACAATTGCAACGCTGACAAAGGACAAAAGGGAGTGGCAGTGTGGGGCCTATGTTGCAATAGCAACAAACCGACAAAGCGAAGCCCATTGCACTATGGACCCACTTAATCCTGGCCATTGTTTTCGCCATATTATGCCGCCCATACCGCATTGTGTTGGCCTAATGTTGTTGACTCTAGACACAAAATGGAGTGAGCCCATCTTGTATTCACCCCATATTCAAAGCATTCCAAGTGCTTCAAGCATCACGACAATTCCGAAAAAGGACAATGTTTTGCTTTATCAGCAGCGAGGCCAGCGGCTAAAATTTGTTTGTGTTCGTCTTTCATTTGGTGTTACCGTTCTTATATAATAAAAGTGGTGGTGGGCGTGACTGGAGGGTGCTTGGTGGTTGTTTAGTCGCGTATGTTAAGGTTACATTTTGTTATGTTCTCCTCAGAAGACAAGGCGACTAGACGGCGCCATTTGGCGCCAGACGAAGTCCCCTTCGCCCTTCCTTCTGTTGGCACTAGCGAATAGTAGAAGACATTTTTGGCAACTATTTCGGGCAAATCGATAAGACGACTGTGAAATCATTGCGCTAAAATTACAACAGATTTAAAGACGTGGTAATGCAAGTCTTGGCAACAGAGAAATTTGGAAAAATGTTTTGTACTATCGGTAAAAATATGAAAAGAATGAAATCCATTTCTTTATATTCAGAATGTTATTTCAGCAGTTAAGTTTACTTAAAATATGTTTATATATATTACATACTAAAGCTACCACAGATTTGTAAATTCGTAATCAGATTTGAACGGTGTATAATTTTAATATTCTTCTTTAATTTAACTGTGCAGCTTTCTGTACCTTTTATTAAACTACTTGCATTTCAATTTAATGTATCAATGACCCTAATTAATATTTATTTTGTACTTAGCGATAACAGTAATTTGAATTTATATGCCAAACGCATACACAAAAAGAGGGAAAGAAATTTATCTGCAAATTAGTCTCAATGAAAATTAATGAAATTATTGACAAATAACGAGGGTATTGTATTTTTAAGATGAATAGGAGTTAATTTTAAGACTTAAATACATGAGATTGCTATCAACTGGATCAACTCAATTAAGTTGAAAACAAGCTGAAACTAATTATGTACTGCAAAAATTGAATGCCAATAAATCAATTTATTATGACCACAAGCGCACATGCTACGTGCGGCATGCCACCATGCTATCGAACCACCGGGTCACCCTTCTGCTGTTTAGTCAGTTGCCACAACTGGGGAAGAATTTGCTTTGCCTTGGCTTTACTTATTTTTCTAGGTCATGCCCTGAGGAAATGTTGACTACGAAAAATATATACCGTGTACTCAGTATTGAAACGGGAATTTTGAAAACTGTCGCAATGAAAACTACATAGTAAATATCCAAACCGGTCTTTGTGACTGTGGGTTCATTTCTGAAATTCTATTAATAATCTTGGAAATTGAAAAGATATACATATCTAAAATAGAGGATACATAGTATCTGCTAGTCTAATTTTCTTTATCAAGCACTCAGACCTTTCATTTTTTCATAGTTCTTGCTACCCATATCGGCAGACAAATGGCGACGCAGTTTTGTGGCGCCTCTTGACGGTGGCTGCAACCACCGTCGCCAGTCACTAACAATTTTTACTGCAGCCATTTCCTAGACGGAAATAAATTCAGGGGCTGCTTAGTTTCAGTTACTGCCCAGTCCCTTCGAGAGTTCCCCCAATCGCTGCAGTCACAACTGGGTATTGATTTCATGCGGCATTACAAGTTTAACAACTGAAGAAACTGGTGAAAGTTTTGTGGCACTGTCATCCATAGTTATACGTCTACCTTTTTCGCTGCCAGATCCATCAACTTGTGTCACAAATGAGCTCCGCCTTTCTCCCCTTTCGTGCTGAGTAACTTTTTCAGATCTTGTTTAATAGGGAAGTCAGCTTATTATGTCCTGCAAATTTTAAGTTTGTGACGAGCTGTTAAAAGATGTGAAGTTTATTGGATAATTGGCTTTGGAATGTGTCACATTCACTTCAAAGTTTTACAAAAAAGTTCTGCGAAAGCAGGTTGAAAACGTCTATTGATAGTAGCTTCAGCTCCTTTTACGAATTTGAACCTTTCTATGAGCAAATTGGATACATAGATAATTATGTTTAAGTGCATAGTTATTTGGCACAAGAATCTTGTTGTCTAACAGCTTGAGTGTGTTTAGATCTCACAGCACTTAAACTAATTAGTTTGTTTTTGTTTTTAAACTCTATCTGATTATTTTCTTTATACATGATGCTTATCCAGCATTGATTGAAATCCAAATGTATCTTGTAAAGGGACTCACAGACTAACTGCACAGCTGCTGCAGTTACCACATTGTTAAGTTATTGATAGCTTTTATTGCAATGCACTGGCTGCTTTTTGCAGAATGTGTGTATGTTGTGAAATCCTTGCATTTCGTAACGCATTGCACAAGCCAAGAGCTGACGTCAATCACATTTCCTTTGTGATAAATTTGCTGCCACAGCGAAATGTCAATTGCAGTCAAGTTTAATTACTTGCAATTAAAAACTAATGCACACAGCGTAAGGCAAACATATTGCGGCAGCACAGATTGA